GGAGCTGCGGCTGAAGCAGGAGTACTTTGTGGTGGCCGCGACGCTGCACGACGTCGTGCGACGCTTCAAGTCCGCCAAGTTCGGCAGCCGGGATCCCGTCAGGACGCAGTTCGAGGCCTTCCCCGACAAGGTGACACGCGTGTGACATGCGTGTGACATACGTGTAGTACATGTGTGTGTAATGTGTGTCTGTGGTGTGTGTGTATAACATGTGTGTGTGTGTGATCCCGTCAGGACGCAGTTCGAGGCCTTCCCCGACAAGGTGACACGCGTGTGACAGGCGTGTGACACATGTGTGACATACGTGTAGTACATGTGTGTGTAATGTGTGTCTGTGATGCGTGTGTGTAACGTGTGTGTGTTTGTGATTCCATCAGATCCCAGTTCGAGGCCTTCCCCGGCAAGGTGACACGCGTGTGACAGGCGTGTGACATGTGTGTGACATGCGTGTGACATGTGTGCGACATGTGTAGTGTAATGTGTGTCTGTGATGTGTGTGTGTAACGTGTGTGTGTGTGATCCCGTCAGGACGCAGTTCGAGGCCTTCCCTGACAAGGTGACACGCGTGTGACATGCGGGTGACACGCGTGTGACATACGTGTAGTACATGTGTGTGTAATGTGTGTCTGTGATGTGTGTTTAACATGTGTGTATATAATGTGTGTGTGTGTGTGTGATCTCGTCAGGAGGCAGTTCGAGGCCTTCCCCGACAAGGTGACACGCGTGTGACAGGCGTGTGACACGCGTGTGACATATGTGTGTAGCGTGTGTGTGATGTGTGTCTGTGGTGTGTGTGTTTAACGCGTGTGTGTGTGATTCCATCAGATCCCAGTTCAATGCTTTCCCCGACAGGCTGACACACATGTGACAGGCGTGTGACACGTGTGTGACACGTGTGTGACATGTGTGTGACTTGTGTAGTGTATTGTGTGTGTGTGATGTGTGTGTATAACGTGTGTGTGTGTGTGTGTGTGTGTGTGATTCCATCAGATCCCAGTTCGAGGCCTTCCCCGACAAGGTGACACGCGTGTGACACGTGTGTGACATACGTGTAGTGTGTGTGTGTATAACGTGTGTGTGTGTGTGTGATCCCGTCAGGACGCAGTTTGAGGCCTTCCCCGACAAGGTGACACGTGTGTGACAGGCGTGTGACATGTGTGTGACATACGTGTAGTGTGTGTGAGTGTAATTTGTGTCTGTGATGTGTGTGTGTGTATAACATGTGTGTGTGTGTGTGTGATCCCGTCAGGACGCAGTTCGAGGCCTTCCCCGACAAGGTGACACGCGTGTGACAGGCGTGTGACATCCGTGTGACATGTGTGCGACATGTGTAGTGTGTGTAATGTGTGTCTGTGGTGTGTGTGTATTACGTGTGTGTGTGTGTGATCCCGTCAGAACGCAGTTTGAGGCCTTTCCCGACAAGGTGACACGCGTGTGACAGGCGTGTGACACATGTGTGACATACGTGTAGTACATGTGTCTGTAATGTGTGTCTGTGGTGTGCGTGTTTGTGATTCCATCAGATCCCAGTTCGAGGCCTTCCCCGACAAGGTGACACGCGTGTGACACGCGTGTGACATGTTTGTGACGTGTGTGTGTGACGTGTGTGTGTATAACATGTGTGTGTGTGTGATCCCATCAGATCCCAGTTCGAGGCCTTCCCCAAGGTGACACACGTGTGACATGCGTGTGACGTGCGTGTGATGTCTGTGTGTAACGTGTGTCTGTGTTGTGTGTATAACATGTGTGTGTATAACATGTGTGTGTATAACGTGTGTGTGTGATCCCGTCAGGACGCAGTTCGAGGCCTTCCCCGACAAGGTGACACGCGTGTGACATGTGTGTGACATACGTGTAGCATACGTGTGTAGCGTGTGTGTAGCATGTGTCTGTCATGTGTGTGTATAACACGTGTGTGTGATCTGTCATAACGCAGTTTGAGGCCATCCCTGACTGGTTGACACGTGTGTGACACGCGTGTGACACGTGTGTGACATGTGTGTACTGTGTGGAACGTGTGTGTATAACATGTGCGTGCGTGTGATCCCATCAGAACCCAGTTTGAGGCCTTCCCCAAGGTGACACGCATGTGACATGTGTGTGACATGCATGTAGTGCGTGTGTCATGTGTGTAATATGTTTGTGTGTAACACACGTGTGCGTGATCCTATCAGGATGCAGCTTGAAGCCTTCCCTGATAAGGTGACATGCGTGTAACATGCGTGTGGCATATGTGTAGTGTGTTTGTAACATGTGTGTGGCGTGTGTGCGTGTGAGAACCCGTCAGGCTGCAGTTTGAGGCCTTTCCAGATCAGGTGACACGCGTGTAACATACGTGTAGCATACGTGTAACATGTGTGTCTTGTGTGTGTGCGTGTGTGACCCCGTGAGAACACAGTTGAAAGCCTTCCCTAATGGCATTAACATACGTGTAACATGTGTGCGACACGCGTGTAAGGTGTGTGTGTGTGCGCCTCATGTGTGCTGTGCGTGTTACACGTGTGTCCCATGCGTGTTCCACGGATGTTCTGCAGATGTTCTCTGGTTGTGCCACGCGCGTTTCCATGTATGTTCCGTGCATGTTACACGCATGTTGCGCGTTTGTTACAGGTGACGATCCAGCTGGACGACACGTGTGTTACATGTATGTTCGTGTCCCACACGCGGCCATCCAGATGAACATGTATGTTTTACGTATGTTTTATGTATGTCCCATGTGTGTTCCACGTGTGTTCCATGTGGCAATCCAGCTGAACGACACGTATGTTACATGTATGTTCGTGCCCCACAGGTGGCCATCCGGATGAACATGTGTTTCATGTATGTTCCACATGTGTTCCATGTGTGTTCCACGTGTGTTCCATGTGTGTTCCACGTGTGTTCCATGTGGCGATCCAGCTGAACATGTATGTTACACGTATGTTCGTGCCTCACAGGTGGCCATCCAGATGAACATGTATGTTCTACGTATGTTTTATGTATGTCCCATGTGCGTTCCACATGTGTTCCACGTGGCGATCCAGCTGAACGACACGTATGTTACATGTATGTTCGTGCCCCACAGGTGGCCATCCAGATGAACATGTATGTTCCACGTGTGTTCCACGTGGCGATCCAGCTGAACGACACGTATGTTACACGTATGTTCATGTCCCACACGCGGCCATCCAGATGAACATGTTCTACGTATGTTTTATGTATGTCCCATGTGTGTCCCACGTGTGTTCCACATATGTTCCACGTATGTTCTACGTATGCTCCACGCATGTATCACAAATGTTACAGGTGGCCATCCAGGTGAATGACACCTACATTCCACGTGTGTTCTACGTATGTTCCACATGTGTGTTCCACGTGTGTTCCATGTGTGTTCCATGTATGTTCTGCATATGTTCCACATGTGTTCCACGCATGTTCCACACATGTATCACATGTTACGGGTGGCCATCCAGCTGATTGACACCTATATTCCATGTGTGTTCCACATATGTTCCACATGTGTGTTCCACGTGTGTTCCACGTGTGTTCCATGTATGTTCCATGTATGTTCCACGTATGTTCCACGCATGTATCACATGTTACAATGGCCATCCAGCTGAATGACACCTATATTCCACGTGTGTTCCATGTATGTTCCATGTACGTTCCGTGTGTGTTCCACATATGTTTTGTTTGTGTTCCACATATGTTCCACGCACGTTCCACGTGTGCCCTACGCGTGTCCCCCTATGTTAGACGCGTGTTCCATGTGTGCCCTAGGCGTGTCGCACTCAGTTTAGATGCGTGTTCCTAGGCGTGTTGCACACAAGTGAGATGCATGTTCCACGTGTGCCCTGGGCGTGTCGCCCGAATGTTAGACACGTGTTCCACGTGTGCCCTAGGCGTGTCTCATACAGGTTAGACGTGCGTTCCTAGGCGTGTCGCACACATGTTTGACGTGTGTTCTACGTGTGCCCTACGTATGTCGCTCATATGTTAGATGCGGGTTCCACATGTGTCCTAGACGTGTCGCCTGTATGTTAGATGTGTGTTCCATGTGTGCCCTAGGCGTGTTGCACACAGGTTAGACATGTGTTCTACGTGTGCCCTACGTATGTCGCCCATATATTAGACACGTGTTCCACGTGTGTCCTAGGCGTGTTGCCCATATGTTAGACACATGTTCCATGCGTGCCCTTCTCGTGTCACCCATATGTTAGACACATGTTCCATGCGTGCCCTTCTCGTGTCACCCATATGTTAGAAACATGTTCCACGAGTGCCCTAGGCGTGTTGCACTCAGGTTAGATGTGTGTTCCCAGGCGTGTCGCACACAAGGTAGACGTGTGCTCCACGTGTGCCCTAGGCGTGTCACACACAGGTTAGACATGTGTTCCACGTGTGTCCTAGACATGTCGCCCTTATGTTAGACGCATGTTCCAAGTGTGCCCTCGGCGTGTCACACACAGGTTAGATCTGTGTTGCACGTGTGCCCTAGGCATGTCACCCATATGTTAGATGCGTGTTCCACGTGTGCCCTACGCGTGTCTCATACAGGTTAGACATGTGTTCCTAGGCGTGTCGCACACAGGTTAGACGTGTGTTCTACGTGTGCCCTACGTATGTTGCCCATATGTTAGATGCGTGTTCCACGTGTGCCCTAGGCGTGTCACACTCAGGTTAGATGTGTGTTCCACGTGTGTCCCAGGCGTGTCGCCCCATGTTAGACACATGTTCCATGTGTGTCCTAGACGTGTCGCCCATATGTCAGACACGTGTTCCACATGTGCCCTAGGCGTGTCGCCCCTATGTTAGACACGTGTTCCACGTGTGCCCTACACGTGTCTCACACAGGTTAGATGCGTGTTCCTAGGCGTGTCACACACAGGTTAGACGTGTGCTCCACGTGTGCCCTACACATGTCGCCCATATGTTAGACACATGTTCCACGTGTGTCCTAGGTGTGTCACCCATATGTTAGACGTGTGTTCCACGTGTGTCCCAGGCGTGTCGCCCCTATGTTTGACTCATGTTCCACGTGTGTCCTAGATGTGTCGCCCATATGTTAGACGTGTGTTCCACGTGTGCCCTAGGCGTGTCGCCCGTATGTTAGACGCGTGTTCCACATGTGTCCCAGGCGTGTCGCCCCTATGTTAGACACGTGTTCCATGCCTGCCCTAGGCGTGTCGTACACAAGTTAGACGCGTGTTCCACGTGTGCCCTAGGCGTGTCGCCCGTATGTTTGACGCGTGTTCCACGCGTGTTCACGTGTGTTGCAGGTGGCCATCCAGCTGAACGACACGCACCCCTCGCTGGCCATCCCGGAGCTGATGCGCATCCTGGTGGACGAGGAGAAGCTCGGCTGGGATAAGGTAAAGCCATGCGACGTGTGGGGCAGCCGTGGGGCAG